TTTTTTGTTTTCCCTACACAGAGCCTGAGTCTTGACTTTGCTGCTGTATTGCCATGAGATTTTGAGTGCAGTTCCCTGGTGGACTGGGTAGGCTGCAGTTTCACCACAAATAAAATTAGGCACAAGTCCCTTTCACCCTCTGTTCTTTAACTTCTCTTGCTGTGGTCATTAATTAATTCAGGATGCACTTCTTCAAGAGCCAGGAGAAGTTTAGTATGGGAGGGGAGCCCTCCCTGCTGTTTGTTGAGACTGGAGCCCAGCTTTCTGAGCATCCCTTGGGAGCTTACTAGAAGAGCAGAATCCCAGGTCCCATCCTCAACCTACTAGACCAGGAACTATCTTTCAGTATCTCCTCAAGTGATACATAAGCCCTGGGCCAAAAAGCAGGAAAAAAAATGAAAGAATGTTTTGTTATTGAGAGCAGAGAGACCCCAAAATAACTTCCAGCAGCCTCGGTTTCTGGGTAGGAACCCTAACCAGCATCACAGCGCTACCTTGTGGCTCTGGCTGCAGAAAGAAGGCTGGGTTGCAAGAGGGCAGGGCTGCATGTCAACTTTTCCCTGAGTCTTGGAATTCTGGCCCTTTGAATGCATTTCACCTCAGGTTTCCAGCTGTACTGGTGACTGGGATAATGGCATTCAAGCAGAGTTATTTCAAAGTATCTTGGCGCTGGGGTGCCAGTTAGAGGCAGGGCAACTCCTGACTCCCAGCTGAGGCTCTTTGGAAACCTTGGGTTCAGGACTCTGTACAGTCATTTCCTCAACTGTGGAATAAACTTGACCCTGACCACTCAGTTCCAGCCCCAAGTTGGGGATAGCTTGACATTGGGACAGACAGACATACACACACAGAGGCACACATATTCATTCATATTCATATTCTCTCTTTCACCTTTCTTTGTAGGACATAATGGCCAGCAGAAAGGGACCCCTACCTCTGAGTCAGTCTGAGTCCAGGGATCCTCTATAGACAGCCCAAAGTTCTAGACGCCCTAAGAAATTCTCCCCTGACTCAAACACACACACACACCTTTCTAGAGAACTCAGGTTTCGGTACTCATCCAGTTCCTGGGAAGTGCTGACTCCTTGGTGGGGGTTGACATAACAAGATAACTGGGGGAAAATGTCCCTCATAAAAAGCAATGCCGATAGGGGCATGCTTTATGAAAGATAAAGCAAGGACCACATTGCAACATTCGGGAGATTCAGGGCTTGTATTTCAGTGCTCATATGAATTGTCAATAATAAGAATAAACAGAAATGCCATGAGTGTGTGTTCTATAGAGCCCAAGAAGGAGTACATGACTCGTTTGCCCAACACACAGTTATCAACGTCCAAGCTGAAATACAACCTATGCCTCCCCCAGAGGAGACTACATTTGATTATCACCTTAGAAAGGCACTTTGGAAGTAGCAGTCATCATTTGTGTGCCATGGTAGTGATGGTAGATGTTAGCTTGGGGGCTTCCCTGTTAGGTACCCCATCAAATGGGTGAGCAAACTGAGCTAATAGCTCAGAACTGCCTAGGCAGGAAAAGCAGTGAAGCTAGAGCTTCTCAAACCAACCCGAGCAGTGAATAAAATTTTAAAAATCAGGTAGACAGGCAGGGTGGGGGGTGGGAGAAGAGGCCCTTCAGGAGCTGGCTGCCTGGCATCCCCTGACCCTGCTCTCTCTCCGGTGTTCCCTCCTCCCTGGCTGAGACTAAAAGTGACCTGCATTTGCAATGGAGTGGTCCTCACTCCTTGGCCCTCCTTAGAAGAGTTCCTGGTGGAGCTCCCTGTGCCCCTCCTGTCAGCCCACACCTGCTCTTTGAGTGTTGAGATTCAGATTTCCAGCTTGGCCTAGAAGGGTTAATTGGGTACAGAAACCACAATCTGAGAGGCCCAGGGATCAGCTGTCAGCCCCTCCCAAAGCAGGGAAGGGACTGGGAAGCCAGAATCAGGGTGGATTTCAGCCCAGGTATAGAGCACTATCTGGAGTGGCTTCTCACACAGAGCAGAGCCCAGCTACGGTTTTGCAGGCACAGAGGTGCTCAGCCACCACGAGATGGAGTGTGAGAACCACAGGCTCTTAGAGCTTAACTCTGGGCTCTGCTCTCAGCCCCCAGTAGCCAGCCAGGGATCCCAAGGTGCTTTTACCTCCTGCTTCCATTCTGCCCCTTACTACACACTCATTCCCTTGAAGCTAAGCTGCATCCCAGTGAGTTGGCTTCCTGTTGTCTGCAGCAGAAAGCAACTCCGCACGGCACTGGGGACCCTGCCCAAACCCTAGGCCTACCCGCTCCCAGCCTCACCTCCCTTAGCTGCCTCTCTGCACCCCTAGGCTCCAGCCAGCATCCCATTTGCTCTTTCCCAGACACTCCCACGTGTTCCTTTCACTGAGAATTCACCCTGGCCACTCACTCTTCAGGAACCACCTCCAAGGCCACCATCCTAGTAATAAAGCTGATCCACAGCACCCATCTCCCAGCAGGGCTCCCTGCTGCCTCCACTGCTCCCCTCATCTGTTCCCAGCTTAGCTGCCAGCGTGTGACCCAGCTCCAACCCCAGCCAGACCAGCCACTCCCAGTGATGGGTCCCTATCTCAGGGAGGGACCACAGACCTAAGGACCAGAAAATGCATAGCAATACGGGCATGTCTGGGAACAGTCCTGCAAATTTGAGAAAATTTCACTGAATGCATGTTTTCAAAATTTCTCTTTCCCACATAGCACTTCTTTTACCCCAACTTCCAATCAGAACTCAGTGTCACTATTTGATCTCGCATAAAGCAGGTTCTGTCCCCATTCTCCCTGCCTTTACTCTCATGGGATTTTGTACAGGGCTTTGGATGGCCTAGCTGGGTGTGGCCAGATGGACCATGTGGAGGACAATGGAACAGTAGGCCACTCTCGACAGAGATAAAACAATCTGTCTCTTTCTGACATATCTTCCTGCCTTCCTCTTTACAAGGCCCCAGATTTGTTCAGGTTTCAGTAGGTCCTGTGTTTGGGGGGAAGTCTGACCCCTTAGGGGACCTGTAGGCTAAGTATTGACTTGTCTAAGGTGGATGAAATAGTAATTCTAACATCTTGTCAGCAATTGATTCAGAAACAGATACAAGATATTTTTCAGGCTGAAGAGATACCCAGGAAATTCTGATGGAGGCTTCTGGGAAACATTTCTGTGTTCTTAAAAAAAAAAAAAAAGAAAGAAAGAAAGAAAGAAAAATAAAAGAAAAGAAAAGAGCAACAGCTTTTTTTCTACCTTTGGGTGTTGAATGTTGACCCCCAGAAATCTAGCCTAAGAGAACACACCAGCCTGCTGAGGCTGGCAGAGAAGAAAAGTAGGAGGGACCTGGCAGCCTGAGGACATCACTGAGACCCCACCATGAAACCATTTTTTCTACCTGGGCACCTGCAGGTAGAAATAACAACTGTCCTTTAAGTTTAAGAGACTGTCCTTGAGCTTAATGTTACTTGCAGCCAAATGCATACTGACTTTTACAGGGCACAGGAAAACTGATACTAGTTTTATTTTGAGACTTTCCATTTTTATCAATAAATATGTAGCCCACAGGTTGCCTAGTCCTACACCTTGTTTTATAGGAGAACACCAGGAAGGTAACTTCCCATGGTGACACAGTACATTCACATGGAAGACCCCAGACCAGGGCTCTTCCCAGTTGCAGGTGGCTTAGCAGGAGCAAGGCTGACTAATAATAATCCACATTATCAAAGAGCCACATGTTCAGGGTGCACCGGGCACTTTTGCATGATATCTCTGGGATTCTTGCAACTTCTCTAGAAAGCAGCAAGCTACAATTGCATTTGTTTCCAGGGAGGAAAGTGAGGTCCAAGGAGATCAGTGAGAAGTTCAAGGTTGCATTTCCTTTTTGGGGGATGGACTGACCTTTGACCCAGGTGTAACAAGTCCACAGCAGAATGAATTAGAAGTCTGGGTAACTTTCCTCCCTGGATGTAGAAGCCAGAGAGCTGCATGTTGGTGGTGACTAGAGCCCCAGGGAGTCCTCTTTGGGACTGAGTAGGGTGTCTCCTCCACACACCCTTGACTTATCTCCACAGGGCGTGTGGGGCTTAAAGATAATGTCTCTGAAAGTGTGTAGATCTGGTTGCTCCAGATCTTACAAAGTAGGATGGTTAGTGCCAAAGCTGAGGGGCCTGTTGGTTGCTAAAAACAAGCCCTACCTTTATGGGATGGAGCCTCCTGTCACCCCATCGGGGACTCTCCCAACTTCAACCCTCCTTGGTCCCACCAAGGTGAAAGCTGCAGGAGCAGGCCCTTAGTTTACAGAACACCTGGGAGAGGCTGTAGGTAGCTGGGTAATTTCCAAATTAATTGTAGGAGAAACCTAACAAAACAATCTGCAGGCTAAGCATCCCGGGAGCTCAGCCGGAGACTGACAGCCTGGAATCTGGGAGGACAATGCCGCCCACCACAGACGGGAGGGCCCTTTCTCCTTGCGGGAGGAGGCCTGACTTCCTTCCAACAGGGACCCGTCCAGGCCTGCAGCTGGGCAAGAGGAGAGCAAAACCCTAGGACTAAAAGAGCCTTTTCACCCAAACCCTGAACTGCAGTTAGTACAAACAGCTTTCCCCAAACCCTCCTGCCCTGCGAGGCTGGCCGGCCCCAGCTC